AGAGAAACTGCTGAGTAGCACTGTATGTACTGCCGGAGGTGTGAGGAGTCTTACAGAACAAATGGAACAGCACTTCTCCTTGAGGAAAGGTGTGTTTGGGCCAGGTGGAGACTCAGCTTAAATTTTGAACGGTTTCTGCTACAGATGTGCTTCTTAGAAGGAAAATAAACCCAGAAAATACTACACTGAGTAAAAAGAGGAAACTGCAGCATGACTTCAGAGAGAAAAACCTGATAATGATGGTAATGAGGTAACTGATATTGTCTCTGTGGAAATAGCTCCCATCCTGCTGGCCAGACAGTAAAACGATGTCACGTTTTCACGTAGGTTTGGTTACATGACATGTTTCTTAAAGCTGAAATGGAAATCCTTTGCCTGCCATTAACAGCAGTGCACAACACTGTGTGTGACTTGAGCTTCCCTGGTGGCACCCACCACTGTACCTCCACCCTTGGGAGCCTGATACAGCGTTACTTACTCTTGGGAGTAACAGGACTGATAGAATGTTTTCCTTGCTGGTAGGAAGTAATCTACTATTTACTTCAGAGGTTCATTATTTTAAGTGTAGAGCTCTGAAACTTTGTATCAATCTGAATCTTTCAATTGAATTCCATAGGTTTTATGTCAAGCTTGTAAATCGGTTTTAGTTATTACACACCATGAGAGAACTGGGGGATGCTACGTGAATACTTATGTGACTAGAGCAGGCTGTGTTTATTGCCAAACTCATTCTCTGTGGAGTAACTTAGCAAGTTCAAAGTCTGGCTTGTAATATCAAAGCCAAGAACCTCCTAGAAACTCACACTGTAGGGCTTTTGGGAGAAGCTTACACTTAAGTGTCCTTAACGTCAGTGACAAAACCAGTTGTGGTCTGAATGTTTTAGTATGAGCTCGATCCAGCAAAACTCGACGTGTTAAGCGAAAGGCTGATGCCTCTCCCTATAAATAAACTTGTCCATTTTCAAACAGTTGTATGGGTGCTCCAGCACTCTGGTCACCGACAAGTTCCGTGGATGAGGTGTCAAACAGGCTGGTGCTAACAAGTTCCGTGGATGATGAGGTGTCAAACAGGCTGGTGCTGCCTGCAGAGGTGTGCTTCTCTCCCTCTCTGACGCTAGACAGGCGGTGGCACTGCACGTCACAGTGGTGAGTATGGGAAGGGTTCAGCTGAACTTCTGTCTTTACGGGACTAGGCGTACACCACAGCCACTTGTGACACGCAGAACTCTCTGGGAAGTCACTACTTTCAGGTTTTATACTTTTTCCCGTGGGTTGCATATCCTGCTACACAGATGACTGTTTTGCAGTAAGCACGTGATGCTAATTCAGTCTTTCTTTGATGGAAGCAGTGACACTTCCCTGCAAGAATCAGAGTAGGGCATATAGCTGTGTTATCTTTAAACCATCCCCCGTATACCACCTATCTTCTGGAACAAGGTCTGTGTTAGCCTGTGATGGGTGTGTGTGTTAATAAGGTGGGAGGGAACTGGTGACTGTCAGAATCAGTCGTTCACCCCAGCCCATGTGGCATGCCACAGGTACACCGAAGCGCTGACACAGCCCATTCACTAACTCTCCCTTCAGACCTGGGAATAGTGCCCTTATCTTCCCAGCACTTAACCAGCACAAAGTGGAGGTTAGCAGCTATGCTGGCTGGCTGATTAATTTGAGATCTGTGGCCATATCTCTTGTTTTGAGTGTCTGTTGGAACTTCACTGACGTTTGACCACAGACCTTCAGAAGTGAAAGGCTAACAATAAATAAATCACAGCACCATTATTGACGGTGCCTTGACGAACACTCTGCTGGCCAGCACTTGTGGCATCCCCTGACGGTACTGCCTTACACCTGGGATGGATCTGACCTATTTCATTTTTTTTTTGTTTTGTTTATTTCATTGTGTTTTTCTTAAAATAATGCATTTTCTGAGTAGTGTGTGGGAGTTTGCAGTATGTACTGAAGACAAAAAAGCTTATTTATTTTTCATGGCGATTGGGTCAGGATGCAGGATGCTTTCCTTTAGCCCTGAGAGCTTGTCAGGAGCTTGCATGGCTGTTAGTGTTGTCAGCCTGAAATACGTGGGCAGTTTTTTATTTCATTTTTTAGTGCCGGAATGGAGAGTCCTCACGTTAAAGCCTTGTGTGAGTCCTTGCTTGGAGAGAGTAGCTTTACATGAGGTCCTGTCCTCGGGTTAATGCAGTCTTTTGCACAGCTTTGAGTTACAGTGTTAGGATTTTGTAATAATAAAACACGGTTTTGGAGGTATTACAGTGATTAAATTGCCAAATTCTTTGAACTTTGGCAGTTATAATGCGGAGTTAGAATATTACAATAATTCTTAGTAAGTGCTGCTTGTTTAAGAACTTCAGCCTTGTCAGGTATATTACATGTGTTAGTCAGCATCCTGTCCCTTCTGTTCTATGAATGGGAATTCTGTTTGGTTTTTAAAATTCTATTAGGAGGTTGACAGTGGAGAGTTGCTGCAGGTTGTGCAGGGATTGGAGCCGAACTGGGTAACAATTAGGG